GATGAATGTATTTCTAACAATAATACAAATCATATAACATGATACCGTATTTTAAAAAAAAAATGAAATAAGTGGATAGAATAAATAGCTAAATAATATCGAATAAAGTATTTATATTTTGTCAAAATTAAACCACTATCGATTTGAACACTCACTATTTTTGAACTACAACACCATATATGATTTCACATTGACTCCAACGTTAAAAGATTGTAGAGTGATACATAAATTAGGGTCAAACTTTTACTCTTAAGCTAACTTTTATGAAGTTAATTAAGACTTTGACTTGAGTATTGTATCAGTACACTTAGTATGTATTATTAATTTATTATACTATCACATATTCCCTGGGCTTGTCCTCCTTCCAATATTTCAATAAAATAAGTACTTTATAGCAAGTTTTCCACATTATTTATGTTGTACATCTATATTTAGGGTGGGTGCATATTTCTACACCAATAAGTAGTCAGCATTTTAGCCATTAGGTGCCAAAGTTTATAGAGACCGTATATATATATATATATGAATGAAACATGTGCATCCAATAAACTCTAGAATTGATAGATGGAGTTTTGGGACCATGCACCAAATGTAATTGTCAAAATTATTAAAGCTCCAATGCTAATATTTCCAAAGTCGTCACAAAAGTTTGGGTGTTGAAAATGATTGTCACAAAATAGACGTAGACGTATATAAATATAAGGTCTCACTTTCATAAGAATTAATATACTCTCCTAAAAATGTGTAGATTAATCTCAATGATCAATGGCTGGAAATAAAAAAAAAAATAGAAAAAATGTTTGGTATATTTATAATTACGATGATGAATTTGAAAACGTTTATTAGTATTGCATTCACGAATAATTAATAGCACATACACATGAGTGCAATCTTATAGATTTTGAGTACAATATTAGTTATTTACATATGGACTATTAAGTGTATTCAAATGCGTTGTCATTATTATAGAAATGACACCACGTCACATTTTTCCTTTAAGTTTCAATTAACCCTGACCACTCTAGCTAAAAGAATGAGATTAATCCACTCGTTATTACAGAGCTACTAGTTATGATCTAATTTGACAAGTCAATATGTATGAGATCCCAAAAATGAGCAATGTCATGATCATATGGGGGGTGGGTTCACTATTCATAGTGTGCACGCAATGCCATTGCACGTGTGGTCTCAAATGCAACATTTAAATCTTCAATTTAATTGTTATTTATTTTATTAGGAATTAGGAATGACAACAGAGCAAGACAACGTAGGAGTTTACTACCTAATCCCCAACCTTAATGTTTCCTTTCCACTCATTTTTTGTTTGATTTTCATCTCTGATTTTATTTGTCAATGTTAATGTATGTGGTTCATGTTGTTATAATATATTTTATGAGTAAAAAAGTCATTGAGTTTTTCCATACAATTAAGTTCAATGGTGATGTTGGACCTAAAGAACTTAATGTTTCTTTGGTGTTGTAGTCAAACGAGTTTGAAAAATTACTTCATTATTTGTCAGATCCATTAATTAGTCATTGTTAGGATCATATATTTATCACCATGCCAAAAGTTATAACTAATAGTGAATGAGCAATTTTACGTACTCCGATCCTTATACTTATATAACAGTTAAAACCATGTTCGATAGTAAAATATTGAACTTGACCTTCCAAGTCAATGCCCATCAATCATTTCTCATAATAATTTACATAAACTTTAAAAAAAAAAAAAATCTACAAAGCATATATTATTGAATCCACACAAAAATATTGATTTATTTAAAAATATATATGGTTGTTATTTAAGTTTCTTCTTAGAAAGATCATCAATAGAAACAATGATTTTCACTACTTTTGATGGACCAACAAGGGGTGTGCCACAATAATTCAAAATTTAATGTTTTATGTTTAGTACACATCAAACCCCAAAAATTTATGTTCATTACAATGTAATCCATAAAAATCAAACTTTAATTTGTACGAGTAATTATAAGATAAGATAATAAAGAGCTTTGGACATTGGATTTCTTTTGACCTGCATGTGTACGTTTTTCCAAATGCCGGATTTGAGGGACCATTCCAATTTTGTCCTCTTTAATTGTGTGTCTACAAATTTTTTTGGATGGCAAACAAAATATTTCTAATTATATTTTCAATAAATATCATATAGTATATATCGAAAAAAATAGTTGTTTTTAAAACTTTTTTTTTTTTTTAAGGTTTGGAATATACTCTATGTCGTAATTAACTTTTTTCTATCTTCTTTACTTTTTGCTTTTTGCAAGCACTCATCCTAAAAAGCTTACTCCAATTTAGGGATAAAGCATATATCATAAGTTTCAAAAATAATTCATCACCTGGATGGCAACCAATCTTGAACACCCACAATTAGTGTTGGACTTTTTTTTTTTTATTATTTTTTTTATTTTTATGACGAGAGAAATCATACTCGATCGACTTTCTAATATGAGAATCATGTTCCATCCATTCGACACTACTTTCAGGACTGGATGTCATGTCTTTTATATTTTACTTGGTGGCAGGGACGGAGGAAGAAGGGGGGCAGGGGGCGGCTGCCCCCCCCCCCCCCCCAATCCCACCCCCACTCCATATATAGTATTTGTATGTATATATGTATATAGTACATGTTTTAGTATTAGTATAAAAACACTATAAAATCTTAACAAGAAGTGAGGTAGAGTAGGTGGTAGAGCACATTTTTGGTAATAATGAGGTTAAGGGTTCCAATCTTATCATCAACATAGTTTGAGAATTCTTTTTTAATAGCTTTTTTAATATTACACACACACACTCTATAATAAGATGTGTAATTTATAATGTGTTTTCTATTCAAATTATTTTATTAATTATGTTTCATATTTTGTTATGAATATTTTTATAAAGTTTCGATGTGTTTTATTTTTCGTCCATATCCAACAATATTTACAATTATATTTCTTAGGTAGTTTATTTATTTATTTTTAAATTATCTCTTTTGTTTTAATGTTTTGCCTTTTCTGAAAAAATTTTCTAAATCCGTTGTACTGTTTCGCCCCCCTTAACCGAATTTCTGGCTCCGTCCCTGCTTGGTGGAACTCAACCTTTACTGTCTGCTGATTGTGTGAGAGTGGCTTGGCTACAGTTTATGCAACTAAATCGTGAAAATTTTCTCCTTATATTAGAAAGAAAAAAAAAAAAAAAAAGAGAAATTATTGTTAGCAAGAATCCAAAGTTCATTTACAGCTTCATTCTCATTCATCATCTTATTTAATTCCCCACAATATATATAATCATTATCAACATGTATATATCAAGGTTTACTTGATACATAGGCTTTTGTGGTGCAAAATTTTTATGGTCAGTGCCTCATGCCACAATAGTTTAGTAGCCTTTTAGAACCCTAGGCTAGTATAGCAATAGATTGCACAATAATGCTAAACATGTGCTATTTAGTTCTATCAATACTCTTTTGTATAGTAGACTGAACTAGTTTCAAATATGCAATGAAGTCTAAATTTGAATATTATCCCCTTATTATTACTATTCATTTCATCCATCTTACTTTTTTGATGAGTTGCAACTAATCAAGGCCCAAAACCCTAGATCCATGATTGAAAAAAATGGAGAAAATGGTAATTTCTGCCCTCAAGTTTGATTGTGGTATAAATTTAATTTTTCAATTGTTTGTGATATTAAAAGTTCAGTTTTTAGTTAAATAATAAAGCATGAGTTTAGTTTATAGGGTTTTAACAAAATCCTAACATTAAGGATCAAATACACCATTTCTCAATATCGAGGATCAGTTGAAAGTGGTCGGTAATAATACGAACTACTTAGAAAGATCGTTACGAATTTTCAAAATTTTCAAACTTTGAATTGACATAAAAAGAATTGTTAACCACCTATAAAAGAAGGACATCTAATGATCAAAATTTTCTAACTACTCGACAGAGATAATAAGAATTTTTGACCATTTTTCGACTACATAAAAATTGGTCAAATTTATTGAAAAATTTATAAACTTTTGTCTACTTTTTATGTGATCAGAAATACTTCTCTAGGTAGCACTAAAAGTCTAATTAAACGTAATGAAGTGTAACTTTCTCGAAAAAGTAAAATATTATATAGTATTGATTATATTTTTTTTGAATGCGTATTGATTATATAAAATATGATAATTTATTAATTGAATTGTGTTTAGGGATTCTTATTTTTCTATATATATAGATCGATTGATTAATATTAATAAATACATTGAAAATCTAACAAATACATGCAAATTGAAAACCATAAACTACTATAACCCCATGCTAGCACTAATTGAAAGCAAAATCCCACTGCAAAAAGTAAAATGAAATGAGAATCCAATGCAAGGAAATACAGCTCTACTCTTTGCCCCCCACAATGCACAACATCAATATCACCCCTCTTAACATGAGAACCAAACAAAACAAATTAAAAGTTAGTCTCATCATTCTACCCCACCTCCTCCACTCTATTATATTCTATTAACAAAAAGCTAACAATATTGAAATTTAATTTTGAGTGGCTCTACTTTCATGTAACAATTTTAAAATTAAATAGAAAAATCTTGGCATTACTTCCAAATTAACACATGTATAATAAAAAAATCATGACAAAAGTTACAGTTAGTAGCAAATGTGTAACTTTATTTTTTTATACTTGTGTATCAATTTAATCAGCGCCACGGTCCAAAGTCAGAATGTTGGACTTGACCCTCCAAGCCGCAACCCAACACAATTCCCTCCCTGCACCTACCAGCCCATGACCTGCTTTGATATCAATTTTCAGATCAAACTCTTACCACTATGTCAAAAGCTATAGCTAGTAATAGCGAAAACACGATTTTATTTCCTTATATTTGTGTAGTCATCAGTGCCAGGATTCGATGGACAGGATGCTGGCCGAACTTGGCCCTCTAAGCCCCAGCCCAACACAAGTATACATATATATACACCTTCCATATCATAGAATGCATGCAATACCTAATTAATTATATTGATCCTATCCACTATCTGGCTAGCTATCATCACTCAAACTCCTCTCTCTCTCTCTCTCTCTATTATATTTCTCAAATCCTTAACTATCAAGCTTCCTAGACATACATACATTTCTTGCTGCATGCATACATAATTCCAAAACCTCAAAAAAATGTCCAAGAAATCATCGTTGCACTGGAGAAATGACTCTGGGGAGCTTGATGTGTTTGAGGCTGCAAAGTACTTTGCAGATGCCAATGAAATCTCATCTTTTGCACACAGGACTCGTTATGAGCCCTGGAGAGGTGGGAGAAAGAGCCTAGACATGGCCCTATCGTTCCGAAAATCGTCCCTAATTCTCCCACCCGAAATGGAAAAACCACGGGCCTCCTCGAATATCATCAAGGAAAACAAGAAGCACAAGCAGCCCAGCTCACCTGGAGGCAGACTTGCCAGCTTCCTCAACTCCCTCTTCAACCAAACAAAGAAGAAATCGAAATCGAAATCAGGCAAGGATGATGAAGATGAAAGCCTTGGAGGGGTGAGGAGAAGAAGGAGAAGTAGCATCAGCCATTTTTATAGCATCAGAAGCTCCACCACCAACACTACTGCCACTGCAAATCATCCCACCATGGCTCCAAATAGTAAGCTCTTCTCTTCTTCAGCTTCTGGGTTTAGAACCCCTCCCCCCTGCGCATACACCCCCACCAAATCCTACAAAGACTATCATCAACAAGTCATCAATGGGCTCAAGAATCACAAGGTGATTGCAGCATCTTTGCAGAGCAAAGATCATGAACCCCATGGAGAAAAGCCCAATGGGGTCTCACAGAAATACAAGCTCATGACCACAAAGAATAACAGTAATGGAGATCCCAGATACCCACCAGAAGAAACTGATCAGAAGAGAAAGTTCAATGGAGAAGACGATGATGCAGACAGTGACACCAGCTCTGATCTGTTTGATTTACCCAACAGTGAACTGCTTATGGACTTCTACTCCTCAAGTGGTTTGCCTGTTTATGAAACCACCAAAATGGATAGCATCAAGAGAAGTGCACCAATTTCCACTGCCGCAATTTGATACTAGGATTGTTAGGTCGCGGCTTGGAGAGCGAGTCCAATGTCCTGTCATCAAACTGGGGTTCAATTCGGTTGAGACTGGTAGGTGTTGGGAGGGGATTGTTAGGTGCGACTGAAGAGTCAGTCCAGCATCTATCATCGAAACGTGGCAGACATAGGGGTAAGCGTTTGATCTTAATCTGACAAGAATTTCATGCATTAAGGTTTTAGTTTAATTGGAAAAATTGTATCTTGCAATTTGGGTTATGTTCCAACAAGGTTAGTTTATGAACATATGTTCATTGTAATTTTACCATGATGAAAATATTCATTTTTGTTTTTCAAGTTGATGTCTTTATTAATGAACATAGGTGTGGAATATTGGGCCAACTTAAACCATGCTTCCTGACTTAGCTAATGTGTTGTAAGGTTTGTTTCTGAACTTTTTTTTTTTTTTTTAATGTAATGGTAGATTATATTTATTGCGTGACAATGTTTATTTTTAATGTAATATATGTTCATATCTAGTTTTTCAACATATTGAAGCATAAATAATCATTTGCGTGATTTGCAGTTATTTATTACATATTATTAGGATATAAGTTGTTTAAATTTGCAATTAAGATGACATAATGAGAGTATATATAAGTGTGCTCCATTATTTAAGCATTTTTCAATTTTTAAAAGAGACATTTAAATATATATTACTCGGTATTATTTTTTAGAATATTAAATTAAATAAACAAATAAGTAAAACTACTGGATATCTACATACGAAAATGAGATTTATTCAGTGTAGACTCAATCATGCCCCAATGGAAGGGGCTCTCCCGAGGCAGTTGTCATTTGATATTAAAATTACAAAATGTATATTGATAGAAAGTTCATCCAATTAACCATATATTTTAAAACAACTTTTTGACTAAATTAAACCGCTAATTAACAAAGGTGCCTATCAAAATCACACATTAATTTTTTATTTTTTTTTTTAAATGGCATCATACCTCTAATTTTATACTTTAAAAACTAAAAACTCTTTCAAAATATGCATAAACAAATAAACAATGAACATATGCTCAAAAACCTACAAACACAATAAGTTGAGTGCGTAATATATTAATTAATTCGAGAAATTGTATCTTAAATTACATCTTTATATCAAATCAATATCTCATCAAGTTTAAAATATCACTCAATAGATCAAGAATTTGGTCTAAGCGATCAGCCAGCGTTATGGTGTAGAGTATTAGTTGGACCCCATTCGAAAAAACTTTTTCAAAAATATTGTTGCATGCAACGGTTCAAACTTCTTAGACAATGCATTTAAGCATGGTAACAAAAAATTTGATTCGAATAAATTTGTTCAAAAAGAAATAATGATAAGATGTACAAAATGTCTGTTCCTTACACAGCAGACTAAGCACCCTGCACGTAGTATTTTTCTTTCTCTTCATTCTTTTCCTTTTGGTGATGGGGATCCACGTAAAGCAAAAATGTTAATTTTTTCTTGCCTAGATATGGTCTTAGATTCTGTTTTGTTTTCCTTTTTCTGATGTCGTCTGTCTTGGGTGGTTAATCACAGATTTTCACTGTACATGCACAGCCCAGAATGTTTGTTTGTCTGACTTTTGTTGTTTTCTTCTTTGCTTTTGGGTTTTGGCACCACATTTATATGATGATAGATATATATGGTGTTCAAGAAAATGATAATTTTACCCACTTTAGCAGTTGGGAATGATTGTTGTGCATTATTAATCAGAAATTTCTCACACCCCAGATGGAGAAACTCATCTATCTGATCTGAACATCACTCATCATTTTATCACAAAACTTTATTTAATTTCCTTATATCTAAAAACATAATAAGTCTCAATCAAAGTTATATCCCTCATTTTTGTCCATGTTTTTAATGCTAACCATTTTGTATATTTTGCTTTTAGAGTTGTACTATACAATTTTTTGAACAAAAATACCCTTACAGTTATAACTTCAGTTATCTTTTCCATTACTTTTACCATGCACATGCATCTACCATATATTTTCTTCTATTCTTTAATGATAACAATATTTGTAAACAATTTTAATTAGTAAAAATTTGTTAGTTATTTTTAAAAATATAAATATTGGGCATATGTTTTTGCGCATCGCGCATAGAAAAGACTAGTATTTATATATGTGTCAATACCACAATTTGACCAATTATCTGATCAGGTGTTTAATTACCAATATTGCTAAAAGGTATAGTAGAGAACATGTAACTTTATTTTTTATTTTTATACTTACATAACAATCTTTTTTTTTTTTTTTGGTGAGAAATAGAAGACCTAAATAGGCACAGTACAGTGTTATCTAATCTTGCGAGAGTAGTTGCCTCCCGCATCCGCCTTGATCAAGTCTTCAAGCCCACTCGGGATTTCTTCAAGTATATTCATGCCCCAATTACCTAACTGCCCCATATTAGTCAGCTAGTCAGCGCAGCGGTTTCCATCTCTAAAAACATGTCGGAACACAATATCCTGAAATTAAAGCCCCTGGAAAAATAAATGCAATCCATGATTAAGTTGGATCTCAACTCCCCCTATTGTCTTTATCATTCATGATTTTAACCACAATCTCCGCGTCCAGCTCCACTTTCACCCTCGTATAGTATAAATCCGTCAGAAGTCGTAGACCTTCCCTTAGGCCTCACAACTCCGCAATGTAGCTATCTGCTTTTCCAATTTTTATGATGAATCCCTTAACCCCAAGACCCATTGTAGTTTCTAATTAGCCCATCAGTCGAAGCAACCCATAAGATCAGATTTACATAACAATCAGTGTCACGTACTTTATACATACACACCTTTAAATACTAAATAGTGATTCCACATTTCACTTGTCTTATTATATGGTATTCTAAAATGTTGTTAAATAGTAGTGGTCTGGCCACCGCTAATCAATGAAATTATTATAGTAATATAGTTAGTACGGAAAAGGATAATCACTGCAAACGATGCAAGAAAAGAAAAAGAAGAGAAAATCATTAAAAAGGCTAAGAATCTTTAAAACTATAATATAACAGACCCTAATTAAAGCCAACCGTAATAATTAGAACTTTAAAAGGGAAGAAAGAAGGTTTTAAAGCTAAATTAGTAGGCGTGACTCGTGAGACTCTTTTGGACTTTTAGGAAGAAACCTAGGTTTATTAAAATTTACAAACAATCATTTTCTTAAACACATCAATCAAAAGTTTGATAAACATTTTACAATATTATTGATCTTAAAATATCAATTGCATAATCTACTTAAACATTGAAGGCTTAAGTTTGGAAGCATCAATCAGAGCAAACATTAAGGGTATGTTTGATTCGCACATAGAAATCAGAATCAGAATGATAATCAAATACTTGGTAATAATAATGAGTTTTGGTGATAGTATTTTGCATGTTTGTTAATAGAGTGGAATTGAAATGATTACCAATATTAATGTTTGGTTATGTATGACCCTATAATGGAAATAAATATTTTTACAAAAATAAAAAATCAAAGGCAATTGATTCTAATATATATAATGACATCCAAAGCATTAATATAAACAAAAAAAAAATCAAAACAAAAATCTAAAAGTACTAACTCAAACTTAAAAATTAGATTACCAATAAAATGGGATGATAACCTTTTTTTAATTAGGAAATCTAATTTTTAATTGAAGTGTTTTATAAAAATTGTCAACCAAACACTAACTATGATTTTGATTCTCATTCCTAATGTGTAAATCCATGAACCAAACACACTTTAACAGAGTTTAATCTATATACTAAAAAAATGATTGTTTATGCATTTGTTCACATGACAATATGAGTTAAACATTTACAAAAATATTAAATGCAGTAAATTAGCCAAGCACCTCGTGCTCAGATGACATGTAGTGACTTCTCTCATGTGGGAGGTCATGAGATCAAGCATGTGCTTCATTAGTTTGAAATTATAAATTATATAATAAATAATTTTGAAAAGGAAAAAAATAGCAAAACCCCAATATATATATATCAATATAGTGGCATGGTCCTAGGTGCCCAATGGGTTAAATCTAATATCATTCTACGGCCCAAACATATTGGATCCATGAGTTGAACCTTGGATTATGTATGTATGTATATGCATACCATTTGAAATAGGCCTACATGAGTTATTTTAGGCCTAGACCGCATGAGTCGGCAAATTATTTCAAAACGGCGTCGTTTTAACGATGCCGCGTCGATTAAAAAAGAATTTGCTTTCTTTCGCCATTAAAGGCGTTTGTCTTCAGATTCGGCAATTTCCTTCCAGAATTCTATGTTCACAATTATAAAAGTCTATGTTCACAATTACTGAACTCTATATTAATAATTTTTAAACTTCATATTCATAATTATTGAACTCTATATTCACAATTACAGAATTCTATGTTCATAATTATAGAACTTTATGTTCATAATTTTTGAACTCTAGAAGTCTATGTTCATAGTTACTGAACTGTATGTTCATAATTATAGAACTCTATGTTCATAATTTTTGAACTCGATATTCACAATTATTGAACTCTATATTCAAAATTACAGAACTCTATGCTCATAATTTTTGAACTCTATATTCACAAATGCAGATGTCGCTGAATTATTGTGACAAATTATATATATATATATATATATATATATATATATATATATATATATATATATATATATATATATATATCTGATTAGTAGAGGAAAAACGGTGTCACTAACGGCACCGTTACTCCCGAATTGCAGAACGTCGTCGTATTGGATCCGTGTCCACCTTATTAGGTGAACACAAGTCCATGGCATAACAATTAGCGTGAGTCAGTCTAATGCATATTATAAAAAAATGATATTTACTCAATGTATATCATTTATTATATATATATATAAAAAAAAAGATATTTAGTCAATATATACATTTAAATGATAGTTGTAAACTTTTATATATATATATATATATATATATATATATATATATATATATATATATATATATATATATATATATATATATCTGATTAGTAGAGGAAAAACGGTGTCACTAACGGCACCGTTACTCCCGAATTGCAGAACGTCGTCGTATTGGATCCGTGTCCACCTTGTTAGGTGAACACAAGTCCATGGCATAACAATTAGCGTGAGTCAGTCTAACGCATATTATAAAAAAATGATAATATCATTTATTATATATAAAAAAAGAAGATATTTAGTCAATATATACATTTAAATGATAGTTGTAAACTTTTCTGGTTGCCCAAAATATAAAAAAGTAATGAGGTTAAAAGTGAAATCAAGAACCAAATTTCATTTTACTTTCATATAGTCAAATCTACCAAAAAGAAAAAAATAGAGGGACAATTAGAGTCACTTTGGTTCCCAAAAAATATTTAAAGGAAATGAAATTGAAATTTTAAAAAATTACTAGAAAAATAGAGTTCATTGTTTGGTTTGTTGGAAACAAATTACTAAGAATATTAATTTTATTGTTTAGTTGAATTTGAAATATGAAGAATAATGAGTATAAAAATCTATATACCATTAAAAAATATTATTAATAATAAAAGTACTAATAATTAAGAAAGAACAAGGATACCCTTAAAAAAAAAAAAAAGAAAGAGAAAAAAGAACAAGGATAAACTAATTATGTCATTTCATTTTTTCTTCCTAGCTTTCATAGAAAATAAAGAGTGAGTTTGGTTAATGGGTTTATACAATAGAAATGAGAATCAAAATCATAGTTAGTGTTTGATTCATTTTCCATTAAAAAAGTTTATTATTACATCTCGTTGATAATTTAATTTTTAAATTTGAATTAATATTTTTAAATTTTTATTTTGATTTTTTTCATATTCATGCTTTAAATGTCATTATATTAAGATCAATATCGTATTTTTTATTTTTATATTTTTAAAATATTTATTTTCATTATAAAATTATATGCAACTAAATATCAGTAATTATTTTAATTTTACTATATTATTATTATCAAAATACTCTAACCAAAATCTATTATTATTATCAAATATTTAATTCCCATTCTAATTTGGATTCCTATTTCGAACCAAACACGCCCAAAATACCATGTCTTACCTAGGATTTTGTTTTCCTCATGTGCCGTACAAAACCAAGCTCCTAGAAGCTATCCTCTCGATCTCAAGCCCTCAAGCTCGCCGGTTAGTCACCGCTCCGTCTCGTCTCATCGCCGCCGTCGACGCTTAACCGGACTCCTCTGCCACCCAAAGCTTCAAACATCTTTTGAACCAATATCGTAAGTGTTTTTTCTTTTAAATTCTTTGTTCTTTTTTATTTAATCTGTATATAATCTCTGGAAGAATTTGTATTTATTCACGCTGCAAATGTATCTTTTTTAAGTCATAGCAGCTACTGAATAGTAATTTGATTCTCGACTTCGTTTGCGAGTTGATGAGCTAGGGATTTTGCGTTTTGGGGATTTTTGTAGCTATTAAAGAAACTGTCAATTGAACCAATTATCCACAACCATGAGTTCTTGTTACAGAGAACCATAATTTTAAATGTTGTTTGATGTAACTATGTAAGGTTCTTTTCAGATAACATTGGTTCAAATGTTTAGCCATTTTGAATTTTGTCACAATTTGATTTTATTTTCTTTAAACAGTTCTTTGAGTTTAGGAATTTGTAGTGGAGGAAGGAGAAGGTGCAAAGAAAGCGAGAGAGAATGTCGGCTCGATTAATGAAGAAAATCTTGAAAGAGCAAGAAGCTGCTCTGCACCAACAAGACAGTGAAGATGATTCTGAATCCCCCGAATCTTCCTCTGCTTCTCGAAGAAACCCCTTTGATATTCTCGACGAGGATGAGGATGAAGAGAAAGAGCAGCACAATGATTGTGATGATGTTGATCAGGTGAGATTCTAATTCCCCATTGCCTTCTGTTTGGTTCAATTAATTTTCACGCTGTGATAGAACTGTGTTTGAGGAAAGTTCGATTGTTTAATCTTGCCTGCAGGTAGATAAGTCAGAAATCAACGATAGATCCTCGACAGGGAAGGTTGATACTAAGCAATCCTCCAAGAAAACCGACACGATTAACACATCTACATCATCAAACCAGAGATCAAAGAAAAAGAAAAAGAAAAGCAATAGAAATCCTCAAAAGTCCTTGGATGTGATGTTGGAAAACTTGTCTCTAGAAGGAGATTCATCTTGCCGTAAAGATATTGCTTCTCATTCAACAGAAGCAAAACTTCTAAATACTAATAACAATAAGAGTGTCAAGAAATCTTCAAGTTCCATCCTTCAAATTGACCCGAAATTCCTAAGTGCAGAAAATGAGCTTCGGAGGATATTTGGGTCCAAAGTAGTGAGCTCTTTCGAGCGGAATCAACAAAGTGGAAGCTCTAGGCAGGCTCGTGGGATCAGACGTGGAAGCCAGAATCATAGGAAGACTATCCTCGTTCATCCTTCAGAGCATTGGCCACGATGGGATGGCTCTCTTTCCATGGAACTTCTGGAAACCAGAGATGAAATCAATCATTTCAGGTTATATCATTTTTACTTAAATAGTCGGGCAGGAAAAATTTATGTTCTCTTCTCGAGTTCTTACATTCTTGTTATATAGGTATGTACATTCGGCTTCCTATACCCAAGCTCAGAGAGCGTTCGAAGCTGCAAAGGCAATTCACGACCTTAATGGTATCGTGAACATTCTCGTGCATCATCCATATCACATAGATTCACTCATTACATTAGCTGAGTATTATAAATTTTCGGGCGAGCTTCAAATGTCGTCTGATGCTACTGCAAGATGTTTGTATGCTATGGAATGTGCGTGGCACGCAATGTTCACCCCGTTTCTGGGTAAATGTCAGCTGCAGTATAGCCATGATACGAACAAGCCCTTCTTCTCTGTACTTTTCTCGCACATGAAGAACATGGATAGGCGGGGCTGCCACCGCTCTGCCCTCGAGATTTGCAAATTGCTTCTCTCTCTAGATTCAGATGACCCGATGGGTGCCTTATTCTGCGTTGACTATTACTCGTTGAGAGCGGAAGAGTATTCGTGGCTAGAACGATTCTCTGAGGAATACAAAAGCGATAGTTCTTTGTGGTTATTCCCGAATTTTTCTTATTCTCTTGCCATATGCCGTTTCAACCTTGAGAGTCGGGAAGATGATAAAAAGACGGAATCTTTGAAAGCTTCTTCGACTGATCTGATGAAGCAGGCGTTGATGCTACATCCCACTGTTTTGAAGAAGTTGGTGGCAAAGGTGCCACTTAAAGATCAAACTTTTAGCCGTGTAGTTGGGCATAGCCTCTTTGCCTCTGAGAAATCTGGGAGCTTATCTTTGGATCACTTGGTTAATATATATGTCGAAAGGAGCTACCTTATATGGAGGCTGCCCGATATCCAGAAGTTTCTCAAGGACTCCGCACTTACAGTGATCGAGATGCTCGAGAAAAAAGAAGCCGATTCAAGAGATTGGACTTGCGTGAGAAAAGAGGCGTTTCCTTCTGACAAAAATGAGTATAGCTCTAACTTAACCTGTGTTGCAAAAATCGCGCCTAGGCGGCCTAGGCGCTCGACCTCCTAGGCGGCCTAGGCGCCCGGCCTCCTTGGCGGCCTAGGCGCCCGGCCTCCTTGGCGGCCTAGGTGCCCGGCCTCCTAGGCGCTCTAGGCGCCCGCCTAGGCGTTCTGGGCGGTCCTCAGGTGCCTAGCGATTTTTTCAACATTGAACTTAACACACCGTGAATTGATTCATATTTACCATGTGTTTTTTAGTTACTGAGTTGCTTCTTAATCTTTGCTAGGTATTCTCATCTATTGGTATCTGAATTTTCGGATTCTGTTCCGACTTTGCCACCTGATAACTTGCAAAATTTCATGGTCGACCCAAGATTGGCGGTGAACAATGGCGAACAACCGGCTAACCGCCCCGTGAGAGATCTGTCAAATCGAAACGCACTTGCAGTTCTTTTCGAGTCTATGTTGCCCTGGGTAGATTATGGTACGGAGCACGATGATCACCCACAGGATCACGAAGGCTGAACACCCACCCTCCAAAACGGAAAGAGAAAGTATGTTACTCATCCTCGGTTCCCAGATTTAGATCATTTCACCCTCACGTGAGGGAACAAGTTTTCGTTTATTTCAACATTCTAACTCGATTACATTGCTTATTGGCTTGGTAAAGACCGACTTGTTAGACTATATCGGTGTAACTAAATAAGTCCTGCAGAAGCATCAGTTTGATCTTGGGTTATCGCGAAAGAGGCTCAACTTCTCTTGATGGATGCTCTGTTATGGCTTTGGGGTTTTTACTAAGAATCTTAGATGTATTCATGATTTTGATATGTTTTTTTAAACAAATCTTTGTTTTTCCTCAATGTTCAAATTTGTTAGAGTTATGTTTATATTCTACAATCATTATTGTGTGGACCGTGGTGCATACAGCTGTGTGGATCATACTATTCTACTCACAAACTGTTATAAATTTAATACGGTTCAATTATGTTGATAGTATTAGATACAATACAATTAAAATTGGAGTCAATAATATATGTATAACTAAATATAATATACATGGTTGTATTAAAAACTATCGGCATTGGTGCTTACAAGGATTAGTTTAGGAATAGAAATTTGTGTGATAAGTTTGACTAAGAGGGTCTTAGCAAGATATTATAGCAATTTTTTGGTTCTTAAGTTTTCTATTAAAAAACATTAAAATTAGATTGAAAATTTCTCTAAGAATATTCCAAAACAAATTTCTAATTTTTTGACCCCACATGTAAATTTTCAAGGGACAAAATCGCCGGCTTGAATAACGCCAAAAAATTTTAATTTCTTTGTTGCCTCGATTTTCAACACATTGATCGAACAGAATTCTTAATCTGCAGGCAACAACCTAACATTTGTGTGGTATATATATATATATATATATATATATATATATATATATATATATATATATAAAAGAACAAATTGTGTGCATCCATTTAATATTTTCTAGTGATCTAGATTAGATTAAGTATGTGCGAACACAAATTAAATATGTGTAAACGCGATTAACCAATGATCTCCTCAGCCAACCTGGCCTCACCTAGAGTTTGAGGTTTGACCCTATATTTTATAGGCTTGTGTTCTTAGACATGTTCGTCCAATATTTCCATCATTAATGAATAGATGGATTACTTTTATCATTTTTAGATTATAATGTTGTATCATATGACATTGTGAAATTTTTATATACACGTGAATATTTCTTGCAAGAAATATTTATACAAATACAATTCTTCTTCCATATTAGGAACTTTATTTTCATTCACGTCTCAAAGTGAATTGCGAGGTGAGTAAATATATTAAAAATTCAAACTTCTTTCAAACTCTCAACATTGGTTAAAACTACTCGAACAAATTAAAACGTGAAAACAGTCCAAATGTGAAAGGAGAACTACCTTTAGAAAAGTAATGGAATGAGGAGGGAGAGGGTGAAAAGAAGAAGAAACAAACGTGTAAAGAAATTAATTTCAATGCGTTACACGATTGATTATTTTATTAATTGGAAAAATTCAATATTGCAGAAGGCGCTAGACGATAGTTAGGTGTCCGGAGTCTTGGAGTGTTTAGGCGGCTCTTAGCTAGACGCCTCATAGACGGTCGAGTAATTCGAGTATATCGTCTCCACTTTTCATACTTAGGGCTGTGAATTGTTAAACTATTATAATTCTACAAACAAGTAAATTAAACTACATATGTTAAATGATTAGTTGAGTACATGGCTGGAGAAATGTTAAACTATTATAATTCTACAAACAAGTAAAATACATAAGTTAAATGATTAGTTGAGTACATGGCTGGAGAAATATAGAAGATGAGCAACCGAGGGCAAAATGCTACTCGGCTGAGTTGGGCGCCGATTCAGCCTAGTTGGGCACCAACTAGGCGGAGCTAGGCACCAAAATTGGCGCCTAGTCAGCCAGCAAGCCAACTAAAAGCCGCATATGATTGAAAATCTGAAATTGCCTCGGCCTAGGGGCGCCTAGACCGACTTTTACAACACTAAAAACATTACAATTTTGATCTTTCAATTGTTACCGGTTATATGTTGTAGTGTCTCTTTTTCTTCAATTATTCGAGATATTGTAATCTAGTTTTTCATAACACAACCATATAATTGAGAGACCAGAAGTACGTATAATTTTCCAACACCTTATTCAAATAAAAAGTTCAATTATAACTCAACCACACGAGTATTGATCGACTATATATACAATGTTTCGATTATACATGCAGTTCGGACTTCTCGAGAGCTGAGTTTGAAATATTACCTTTCTCCATTATTTTTTTTTAATGAATATGTATGTATCACATTGTATAGTTTTAGATTTTCCCATCTTGGTTTCCTTCTTACCAACTCCATCTTCTGTCTTTTTACATCCCAAATAGGGTAACAACTTCTTGTCTAATCTCACATTTGCACTCAACCAACACTCTAGGTTGGTCCCCTCTTGGCTTCTTCCTCCTCAGATCTCCTGCAACAAGTTTTCAACGGATGTCAACAACGACAATATTATTATTACTAAGAAACAACAACAATTATTATAGTCTAGGTTGTAGAATAGAGACAATCCACTTCGATTCATAGGATAGCTACTAATCATGTAACTCAGATTTAATCACCATACTTAATGGTTTCTTTTTAAACAAATAGAGAAAATAATGATTTTGATAAACAACCAATATAAAGACTGTTTGGTAAATAGCTGATAGTTATTAGCTGATTGGGTTAGTGGATTTGATTAGTTATAACATTTGCTGATTGTAGAAAAGTTTGGTAAATTAATTGTTAGCTGATAACTGATTACATGTAAAATGACTTTCTCAAAAACCTAACTGAATTTTGAATTTTAGCATTTTAGAATAATAAGTTGTTACAAAAAGCTAATCAATCAAACACTCATATTGATTGTTTAACCAAGTCAAACAACTACTAGTGGTCAAATAAGTCAAAATTGACTGATAAACTAAGGGGGGTGTATTCAATCATGACTTTCATAGAGTTTTAAACTTTTATGAACTTTAAAAGTTTGGGGGTATTCAATTCAAACTTTTAGAGAGTCTTTAAAAGTCAGGCGGTATTCAATCAAGATTTTTAAAGAGTCTTTAAAAGTCGTGTGGTATTCAATTCAGACTTTTAGAGGGTCTTTAAAAATCACGTGGTATTCAAAAAGTTATGAACTTTTGTAGACTTTTTAATTTTATGACTTTTGTAGACTTTTTCTTCTCAAATATAAATAGTTGAAATCCAGCCATCAACCCCCAGATTTCAAAATTTTCTTTCTAATAACTTTGAATGTTTTCTCTCTCTATTTAAACTCTATTTTTTTCTCCCAATTTAAACTTTATAAACCTATCTAAATTTAATAAAATTATTTTTTTCTTCATTATCCTATATTTTCCTCATACCTAACTCTACCAATTTCTCTCTCTCTCTCTCTCTCCTAAATTTTACAATCTTCCTCTAAAAATTCAAAATAATATTATTTTTACTTTATATTGATTTTTATTTTTTCTATAAATTTTTTATCCCTAACTTTCTCTAATTCTCCCTAAATACATGAACAAAGCAAATTTTTCATCATCAAATTTTAGTATATGTTTCATAATATTCATATAAATACTTATATATTTTTATTTTTATTCTTTTTATGTTTATATTCGTAATATATATTTTCCCTTTTTTTAACAAGTTACTACGAATAGCGAACTATTGTTCGCAACAACAATTTGGGGTTGCAAACAGTAACACCATGTAGTTGTTCACAGTCTCAAATTGCTATTGCAAATAATAGTTCTTTGCGTGATGCCTAGCAATATATCAAGTATAATTATATATATATATATATATATATATATATATATATATATATATATATATATATATATATTAGATTTTTATTTTTTTTACTTTATACAACTTGTAATGAAATAATAGTTCTTTGCCTGATGCCTAATGAAATAATTTTTTTATGTTTATTAATAATATATATAAGTAATTAGCATATAAGTCTCAACATACTATAGATAAAAATAATAATGTTGAGAATGTTGATATGGGTGAAGAACTACATAATAATTTAAGAAAATTTTATGATATATTATAAATGTTTTGTAAGAAAATTATAAATGATAAGAATCAAAATCATTGAAAGTTTGTAAGGATGTATTCAATTTAGAATTTCAATGACTTTTGTAGACTTTTTAAAATAAAAAGTTGATAAAAGTCCATGAATATTTTTTTAATGACTTTTATAGAGTCTTATAAAGTTTTAAAAAGTTTTGAACGACTCTATGAAAGTGAATCAAAGTTTATTAAAATCTATCATTTTAAAAGTCTTTAAAACTCTACAAAAGTCATGATTGAATACACCCTCCTAACTATGTTACCAAACAAGGCCTAAGTGTTTGATTAATTAACTTTTTGTAACAGCTTATTGCTTCAAATACTAAATTAAAATTGTTCAAAGCAGTTTTTTTAACCAACTTTTTAAGAAAGTCATTTTGCATGTAATTAGTTATCAATTATAACTCGGCAGCTGATTATATTGTCACACATGAACAAGAAGTAACGTCTCACATAAGTTTTTATTCTTTTAATTCTTTTTCTTTTGAATTTGTGAGAAACCCCTGCTACTCCCTGCTATGTTTCTTAATAAAGTCTATTTACCTTTCACCTTAAAAAAAAGTTGAGATATAACTATAAGACTGTATGAGTGGTCATAGTTTGATTGTCCAAAAAAATAAACTAAAACCAAACCTCTATAAGAGAGGTTACAAGAATATATTTTCTGTTGTTGGGTAACATACAAATTACTTTTACTACATAGCGTGCATCCGAAGTAATTAATGGTTTGATTGAGGTTGTATATATCAACCCTTGTTGCTACACAACTCGCATTTGATACTTTTTATTGGTTAAAATAAAAATTGAACCATAATATATAAAAGAATTAACTTTGATTTATAAAAATTATGTGTCTACAATTAATATATCATGTGCTTTCAGTCAATAAATTATGTGCCAGTAAATAAATTGAAGACATATAATATGTTAACGGAAAATATTTGATGAATTTTCATTTTATACTCCCAACTTTTACTATCTCTCACAAGTTATGTTATTGATGTAGACGCTTTTCTGTGAACCAACATGATAAAAATAACTAATCCTAGTTTGTCACATCAGGGAGTAGAAGTAATATAATGGAGTAGAATTTGAGAGTATGTATAGTAGAACTACATGCACATAATATATTAACTGCCATGCAGTTAACATAATAACATGTTATGTGCTTTTAATTTATTTATATGCACATAATTTGTTAACTGCATGCACATAATATATTAATTGCAGACACATAATTTGAATGTTATTTTGGACCAAAGCCCACAATGCAAGGTGAACTCAGGTTCATGGTATAATTTGTCAAACCTTATTGTCAAATCACCACAAGGAGTTAAATCAGACTTGACTGCTCATAGTTAACATGTTCAAACCAAGAATGTCAATACACAACTCTAAAAGAAATCGAACTTAAAACATTATAATTACCAAGTAAACTAAAAATTCTATAGTATGCCAAACACCTTGTGTTCAGATGGTATGTAGTGACTTCTTTTATGTGGAAGGTCATGAGATTGAGCCTTAGTGAAGACGTTGTTGACTAACATACCTTCAAAAAATAAAAAATAAAAAATATAGTATCAATGTCGAGTCTAAAGACTAAGCACACCAAACTAAGGCTCTAATCAATTCTAAAAACTTTTTGATCCGTTTCTACTTGTAACTGTAACAATAACAATTCTATTCTATTGTTATAATCCAAACCAAATTATGGTCACCTCTAGTTTTTATTATTATTATTATTATTATTATTATTATTATTATTATTATTATTATTATTATTATTATTATTTTTTGACAAAAATTTACTCTATAACAATGTTGTAAAAATCGGCCTAGGTAGCCGACCAGGCTTTATGTGCTCCTAGGTCGAGGCAATTTCAGCCTTATGCGACTTTTAGCCGGGTGACCGACTAACTGGACGACTAGGTGCCGACTTGGTCGAGTTGAGTGCTTTGCTCGACCGAGTCGGGCGCCTAACTTGATCGAGTCGGTGCCCAACTCGATCGAATTGGCGTTCAACTCGGCTATGTAGATTTTTTTGTCTGCTGGGTTACTCCTCTTTTACATTTCTCGAGCTATGTACTCAACTAACCATTTAACATATGCAATTGACTAGTTTGAAAGATTATAACAGTTAACAACTCTAGCGCTGAGTGAAAAAAGTGAAGACGATATACTCGAATTACTTGACCGCTTAAACACTAGGCCTTCCCTAAGCTCGATTAGCGCCTAGTGCCTTTTGTAACATTGCTCTATAATCAATCGATATTCTTTAAGTAGTCATTGTAAATTCTTTTTTTTAAAAAAAAACATTGAACTAAAAGAAGCAAGTGTGGTCCTATATTATATATTTTTATATTACGCAGTTACAGGCTAGTGATTAGACACACCAAATTACCTGCATTTTCTATTTCTTTATACTTCACTCTGTCACTCTCTTTCCTTGTTAGGTCCCTTTTAACAACCTCGTTATATATTTTCACAAACCCAAAAATAGAAACAGAAATGGAAACAAACAACTCTCTCCCTCTCTCTCACTAGGGAGCAAGTAGTGTGAATTCAAAACTGCAAAAAAAGCAACAAGAAAGACGCTTTGGGCACCTGGGGTGGCCGAAATCATTTGATTCTCGCAATCTTTCTGCACTTCTTTCTTCCAGTTTTTCTCTGGGTAAGCTCAAAATTCGTCCATCTTTTGTTCCTTAGCTTGTTTGCTAGCTTGCATATGTCTACGTGGGCGCGTAACTTATTCTGTCCTTGAATTTCTAAGTGTGTTCTTTTTATAAATTTCTGAGCTTTCTTGATGTGATTGTGGTATTGTTTCAATTTCTAGTGTTTCTTGATTTTGAGAAGTTTGGGTGGTGAAAGCTTATCTTTTCTTAGTCTGTGTGTAGCTTAGTTCCACTTTCCATCCTTTCTAATAGCCATCTGTGATTCAATTCTCCTTTTGGGGAGCTGAGAAGAAAGATTTTGTCTTTCCCAGAATTTTGAGCTGCACAGTTTCTCTTTTGGGTTGTGTTCATGGGGAAAGATGGCTTTAATTGTTAGATTTTTACTTTTTAGTCATCAATTCTTGATTTAAGATGTGAAATTGTATTGACATTGACACATTTTTGTCTTTTTTTTTTTTCAGAAAATTGAGTTTGGATTAGGTGTAAATTATTGGAATTTTTTTTACTGTGACACTGTATCTCTGTTCCAGTAATGGAGTCTTTGAACTATGCTTTTGAAGGAAGAGGTTTTCTGTTTTCTGATGAATTGCCAGTGGACTCCTTTACAAGAAGTAGAAATCTTCTAAAAGACTGGAACTTAAACCCCTTCTCTGAGGTTGATAGAGGTATGATTAGCACTAATCATGAACTTAATGAAGGAGCAGAGTTCATGGAGTCTGGTTTGGCTGAAATGCTGCAGAAATCGCCCGTGAGTAGTCCGGGCTTGAGGCTTTCGAGTACTGAGTCTGATAATGATTTTGCGAAGATGACACTTTCTTCTTGTATGGCTAATCTGGATTCGGTCCCGAGGGAGATGGAAGTTGAGGCTACTGGGTATAACAACCAGAAATCCGAGGAGTTAATGCATCATGGCAATGTCAAGAGTGACCAGTCTTCAAAATCGAGTTCGGTTTTGTCTCCAATTGAGCCTTTGTTGCCAGCAAAAAGAATCCGGGACACAAGTTTGCAGTCCGATATTCATGCCTTCCAAGTCCATGATATCAACAAGGCAGCATTAAACGATTCAAACGAAGCGAGGAGTGGCCAATCTTCCAAAAAAAATTCAGATTCGTCATCAGCAGAGCCAAAAAATTCGGATTTTTCATCAGCAGAGCCTTCTGTGACAGCAAAACGGGCTAGGATCACGAGTTTTAGTTCCCAGGTCCTCGTATGCCAAGTTCATGGCTGTAACCGGGACCTAAGCTCCTCCAAAGACTATCACAAGAGGCATAAAGTATGTGACGAGCACTCTAAGACCGCTAAAGTCATCGTTAATGGCATTGAACAGCGGTTCTGCCAGCAATGTAGTAGGTACGATCAATCTTTCTACTTCTACATTGATGTTACTTTCGATAAACTACTATGTTAAGTAGAAAGATGGTCTTAACGATTTGATAAGTTGTCGCTCCCTAGAATCTTGATTCAAGCACTTGGTGTAGTTGGTACATATTTCGGTGTTAATTATGAGTTAATGACAATTATACAGACATTCTTGATGAACAAATACTGCATTGTAACAGAGTCAGTAGTACTAAAAAGAAAATACAGAGACATTCTTGGCTGCAATTGAAATAAGTTTCAACTATGCAGGTTTCATTTGTTAGCAGAATTTGATGATGATAAAAGAAGTTGTCGGAAGCGCCTTGCTGGCCACAACGAGCGAAGACGAAAGCCTCAACGCGATACTCACTGGGGTAAAAATAGTTTCTCCTAATTCTAATTAACCACTACATTCGTTTAATGGTTTTTATTCCTATGTGTTTATATATATACACAGATATTCCAGGGTCGAGGTTCTTGGATTTGGCGTCGGATAGGACTATCTCGTTCCTATTCCCCGAAATCCTTAATGGCAGCTTCTTCTGCCAAGAAAGTTACGAGGAGGAAGGAAAGCCGATTAGCAGCTTGCTACAATCAAGAGGGCATCTACAAGAAAGGCGATTCCCAGTTCAAGAAGGCGAAAACTCCACTCGATCTCACTCTCTTCTGTCAGCCCACAAGGAAAAGATTCTTAGCAATTCAACCGTTCATCCGACAATGATTCCATCGAACCATCCCGGTTACCTCAAAGTGGATCAGAATCTGGGCATGCCTAATTTGGGCATGAACAACACTTCAGGAAACTTCACACTAAGCGAGCTGGATGCGTTTGGGGTAGTTGATCGGGATGGAGTTCTCGAGGTTCATGATGGCAATTTGGGCGCTCATTATGAAACTCAAATCGATGGGGGCTTGCAAACATCAGATTTCGAGGACTTAACTTGCTATATTTCTCCAGAAAGCGGGCCAACCATCGATTTGCAGCAGCTTTCCACGCATCTGCTGAGAGTCGAGCAGCAGAGAAGCTATGCTCAGGTGAATCACGACACCGATAACTTCTGTTTCACTACCACGTGAGGATCGATCGAACACACATTCAATTCGTTTAGCTCGCTGCTTTTCTGTTTGTACATACAAATGATCTGGAACTTGAAGTGCCTCGCTCTCTGGTTTAGAGGATCTGAAAGGAGTAATGATTGTCGAAAGTGCAACAGTATAGGCATTTATATAGTCTCGAAAACTTTCTTAAACCAAAGAAAGTTACCATTTATGATCTTTGAGAAGTTAGAATGTAGTATGGATATGAGTTTGGGGATTCAATTTGATTTGAAATGTTTGCTGCAAGCCTTTGTAGCATTTTAATGTTGTTTTCTTTGTGACACCATTTTAGTGGTTATGTAGCTATCAATATTTTTAATTTTGAAATCCGTAACCCCTACTCAATGGTGCAGGCTCACGTGCTAAAACCTGCTTTATGAACTTAGTCAGTAAAAGATTAAGGGATAAATCAGTATAAGTTGTCCATAACTGATCAGGAAACGCAATAGGCAGCTTCCACAAAAAATGAAATTTGAAGTTTTATGGTTACCAAGTTAGTTACCTGATCAGTTCGGTTGGGTCATAATACTTTTATACACACTATATCTAGATGTTCATACAAGAATTTCTTGTATCTCATTATTACCATTTACCAACAATGGGGAGAGATTTTTTCTTTCCACACATTTAATAATATTTGCCAAACTCTATCTAAAACGTAGAAACTTTGCATTATGGAATACTCCCTATTAATTAAGTTGGGTATACCAAAATATTTTCCATGCAATGTTAGTTAAAACATTATTGATGTTCTAAGTGACATTTTAGCTAAACATTACACTACTTCAAGATTTCTCAAAGTTAATCTTTCGTTTGTATGTTGTATACGAAGTTTTTACAATATCATGCACTATAACATTGCATTATATATAAAAAAGAAAAATGGAAATTATGAGCCTATAATATTGCATTATAAAAAAACCCGCAGAGCCCGTCAACCCGCGTAAGACGGGCTAGAGTTGCATGAACCCTAACACTGCGGGCTCGGCAAGCCGACCCGCAAAACCCGCCAACAATTGGGCTTGCGGTGGGACGGGTCAGCCCGCTTTGACAGTACTAACACGCAAACTATCTTTTTGTGGCTCTAATCCGTCCCACCGCGAGACGGGTGCGGGCCAGCCCACGGGCTTCGGCTCACTTTGACAACCCTATTTATAATTATTTTGTAGATTTTTAGACATTATATATGACCATTTTTTAAACTAATAGTAAAAAATAAAAGTTAAATAATATTTCATCCAAACTCAATATTCATTAAGGTTTGCATGTCATGATAATCAGATAGTAGCAGCATGTTTCTTTCGTCACCCAAAATAAACAAAGATAGAATAATAATAGCCCATCATACAAGTTTCCCAAACTCATAAGTTCATAAATATAAATAAAAGTTGAGATACAACAACATAAATAAAACAGAAAACAAATTGGATCAAATCCTCAAATTTATCCTCACAATTAAAACTGATTAAGTCCCCACTAATTATGCCTTCAATTCCTTAATCCCAAACTTGCTTGAGTTGCTTCATCCTCCATTCTCTAGGCCTTAGAAAAATAAAAATAAAAATTAGTCATGCAATATCTATATATATGTAAGAAACTTCAATTATATAGTGTTGCGGGTAGCAATAATATAATACATGTTACAGTCATGTATAATATGTCTAGCGTATAAAGTGTGACAATATATTATACAATCATTCATAATTATATCAGGTATTATTGGTACGATTCTGATATTGCAAAAAAAAAAAAAAAAAAAAAAAAAAAAAAAAAAAAACCAAAAAGGTGCAGTGGAAGAAAGGATTCTTACATTGCTGTTGCTCTCTGAAGTGGACCTGCTTGGAGTGTTTGGAATGTATCTAGCCCACTATTAAATACCAAAAGATGTTGTAATTAAGCCAATAATTAACGTAACTAAATAAAAGAATTATTGTTTAAGGAATATAAATATTAATTAATTAATTAATTAATTAACAATACATTTTTTGCTGCAGCACTGAAAGCTTCACGATGTGGTATCTCTGGATTCGCTGCTTTGATGCGTTGAATCTCCTCCCTTTCACAATCACATTTTTAAATAATAATAATAATAATAATAATAATAATAATAATATAATAGCTTACTTCATGAATCGATTGTAGGCAGAAGGAAGTCTATGCTTCTTCTCAGGAGCTGAAATTAATTAAATAATGCAAAAGGAAAAGTGAATATACAATGATAAACTTTAACTAGTAAAAAAAAAATATTGGTAAAAAAGAAAGATTAAATAATATTATTATATGTACGTTTAACCACGAAAGGAGCCTTTGGGGATGATGGTTCGCTAGATGTTGGTGAGGATGATGATGATTGACCCCTCTTGAAACCATTGCATGATACCTAAGAAGGTGTGGTCTGAGTTAAGTTCGTCTTGTGATTTTAATTGGTAAAGAATTATATATACCAGTTTAGATTGTCCATAACTCATCGATTCACATTAAAAATGTCAATAAATCGTTCTTGTAAATAATTGAACTTGAAACATTTTATAGAGTTTCAATTCTGAAGAAAAAAAAAACATTTTTGAAATGCAAAAACGCTCGATTTTACCGGAAAATTATTGGCATGGTGATCATGGCACTGGGGTTGGAGTGGAGGCCTAGTGCTGAGAAAGGAAAGATTGCTGCAATGCCCACATTTCACTGTCACTGTTTCCAGCACCCTCTTGCATGGGATTCCAACCTAATAAAAACATATATGAGTGACTCCTGTCGTCCGATTTTGACTGATATCGACACATAACATATATATATAGAGAGATAGATAGATATATATATATATAGAGAGAGAGGGAGAGGGGGGGGGGGGGGGGGGTGTAGAAGTGAAGCTTATTGCATGCATGGAGGTAGACGTACCGCGAGAACAGTGTTGCAGAAACTGCAGCGGACATAGCAAAGATGCTCAGAAGATGGTTGAGCCAAATCCATGGAGGTTTTGATCTCTTTGGTTTGTAGATCCAGTATGGAAGAATGGGGATGGAGGTCTAGAGGAAGAAGATGGGGATGGAGGGTAATGGCATAAATACTAGGATGGTGAGGGTTGGTTCAAAAGTAAAAGATAGACTTATATATAGTAGATCATATGAGAATCTAGGGTACCGTGATGGGATGGTAGGAAAAGTTCTACTACATGTACCCTCAAATGTGGCGGACTTCTAGGTCCCAATACAAGTGTCAACATCAAGGTTTTGTGTATAAGAGTAAAAGTTGGAAGTAGAAAATGGGAGTACACATGACATTTTCTTCCAGCTAGGAAATATGGTGGTGTTGAAATTTAATTTCTCAGCATAATTTAATTGGTTAATCAATTCAAATTAACGTTTATAAGTTCTTTTGCTAGTAGTTGCATTGTGCATGTTTAAATCGAATCTTACTGAAAAAAACAATATGAAATTTTCCTATTATAGATACTAATGTACGTACAATATAATTAAGTTAAGCAGTTCTCGTAGTTAATTTACTCGTTTATCAAGACTTTAAGACAATGGCCGCATGTGCTTATTATTAGAGCCTTTTAGTATTTTGAGTTTTATTTGCCTCAAGCAATATTTCGAGTTTAAGTCTCATGAATGAAGTAGTGGACAGCCGTGAAAATTATTTCAATCAATTTCAATCCCACCAATAATATATTGAACTCCTAATAAATTGAAACTCAATATGACTAGAATATCGAGGATTATGGTAAAAAGTAGAATCAGAATAGAGAATACTTTTATAGTATAGTATTATACATCATGATATAATTATAATAATAGTGTCCCGTCGAGTCGGGGTGTGGAGGCCCTTAGAATTGAGATTCAGCCTTTTGGAAGAATAATAGTGTCCCGAGCACAACTCAACCCCCAACCAATCCAAAATAAACTTTTCATTGCTAGCAGCCACTAGATGTAGTGTTTAATTTGAATCCTACCAAAGACAAGGTATGTATTTGGCTTTGTCTGCTAAGCCATTGAATCACCGTAATTTACATTCTCCCAAATGCTCTATCAGGCTGGGGTATGGGTCCCTTGGGTTGGGTATTCAACCTTTTGGGAGAAGAATATTGAAAATAAATATAAAAATCTTAGGCAAGAATTACATTTAGGTACTAAAATCTCTTTCCACACGTACAAAGACATCATTCATTAATTAGTTGAATAATAAATACACCATATCATATTTAAAAAGTGATTGATAATATGCAAACGCATAACAGATCAGAAATGTTTTATTTACTGTATCAAACAAAGAATGTTATATCTTTTACATGTACTTCTATTAATATAAGAATATTAGAATAAGATAAAATCAAACTGAAGAAAAACTTCGAGATATCACATCTCGTCTTTTTTACTACACATCTATCTATAAATGTATATGTCTCGTCATTGCATAAGATATTGGTAAGTAGATACCTCAACTGTCAATTCAAAAACCAGTCCAAAACTATAAAGAGGAGCTGAATGAATGTCAAGTCCAGATGTGTGTATACATAAACAAAACCACAAAACAACAAACAATTAAAAAAAAAAAAAAAAAAGATAAAAAGAGAAGTGGATGAGATGCATTCATGAATGACATAAATGTTTTCAAAAAAAAAAAAAAAAAAAAGAACAATAAAACAAAGAAAGTAGAGAGGGTTATGGTTTCCCCGCCCTCTGCAATAGGCTCCCTTTTGTGGGTGCAAATCTAAAGAAAGAAATATGAAAGTGACTCATGATTGTATCACTAGTCACTATCCTCAGCAAACTTAGTTTACTGTGGTTAAAAAAAAAAAAAAAAAAAAACATAGATAACTACTTTTCATCATATATTAATGTCAGATAGAGATTTTGAAAAGTCGAGTCTAACATTCTGTCATTGTAACATGGCGTTAACTGAATAATGTTACATATTTGTTATTAGTTATAGTTTTTGGTGTGCGTAGTCGCTTGTTAATAAGTGCTTGACTGAATCCCATTATTATTGGGCACTTAAATCCTTACAACATAATTAAAGGAAAAAAATATTACTGTTACAAAACTATCACAACCAAGTAGTAATTTGATATTTTATGTCGGGCAAAATTAATGTATAATTATATATACATGTCTCAGTTTTTCTATTTAAAGTCACGTCACATCTCCACTGTACTTAATGTCAGTAAAATATAAAGAAGCGCAGGGTGAATTTTAAAGTGTTGACCGACACTGGTATATCTTGCA